AGTGGGTCACTGTATAATGGATGCTATTAAATTTGAATTCAATGATATAATATCATTGTATAAGAAAAACGATTCTGAGCGAAGACGGTATGTCAGCCTAGGTTTAAGATAAATTATATACAAATCTATGGTATTAAAAAAAAATTGACCTATAATAAATTCCAAATTAATCATATCACATTATCACAATATCCATTAGGTACTTATAACACGTTATACACAAACAAAAAACCCTGATACTATCATATATATGTATAATAGTACACTTTAGAAGTTTCAAGTAGGTACCCACGAATAATATTATATAATCACAACAAAATAACTAGGTTTTTTAATATGTAATTTCGTCCAAATTTGAACATAAAATGACTATAAAAATAAACTGTGATTGTATATTTTTTAGATTTTTCGGTAAGAGAATTAATTACTTACGTGGAATCTTGTTTTAAATTTTCAATCCTTAGATATAAAAACTGAACATTTTATAATTTATTAATTACGATGATTAATAATTTTCGAGATTTTGAAAAATTCTGTCAAAATTCGATGTTAAAATGCTTATAAAAAAAAATTGTGCCTATGTATTTTTAATATTTTTCAACTGATATTGTAACAATATATCAGGAGCCTTGTATTAAATTTTTACACTTTTTGGCCCAACAGATAAAACTTAATTGATATTTATAGAAAAAAAAAACCAAAAAAATTGAAAACTGAAAATGTCCGTAAACGGCTCAAAAAGAGTCAAAATATTTTCAAAATTGTATGGTGTATAGGAAATGCTAATATAAACATTCAGTGAAATTTTCATGTATCTACAGTAATTCGTTTTTTAATTACAACAAAAAAAGGAAATTGCCACATGAGAAATCGAGTGAATATCCAATGTTGTAAAAATTTGAATTTCAAACGCTCATAAAAATTTAATTTGACTTTCCTGTAGAGATTTTTTTATTGATAAAGGTAGACAATCTTATGAGTAATCTTGTATTAGATTTTCAAATCTTAGATTTAAAAAGAAAAATTTTTACGAATTCTTAACTCAAAATAATTTGCTAATTTTCGTGATTTTTCCATATTTTGTCAATTTTTGAACTTTAATTGCTTATAAAAAAAAATTGTGACTAAGGATTTTTAATATTTTTCATTTGCCTTTGAAACAATATATTAGGAACCTTCTATTAAATTTTCAAGCTTTCGCAACCAACAAATAAAATTTTATTGATATTTCTAGAAAAAAAACTAAAAAAAAACTAAAAATGAAAATGTCCCTAAACTGTTCAAAATAAATCAAAATATTTTGAAAATGTTATCGTGTATAGAAGATGCAAATATAAACAACCAGTGAAAATTGCATGTGCCTACGGTCATTTGTTTTAAAGTTACACCAAAAACCAAATTCAATTTTCTGAAAAATCGATTTTGCGTAAAAATTCCCGTTTTTCCTTAATTTTTCTTTTGTTTTTCCCGGCGCTCTTGAAAACTACTGGGAAATTTAAATTTTGACCTCCCCAATGCACCAACGATATTCACTTTCCAATCGAACAAGATACTGAAGTCGAAAATCGAAGCATTATTTCGACTACTTATCGTGTACACAGACACAAAAAAATAAATATAAAAATAAAAAATAAAATAAAAAAAAAAATAAAAAAAAAAACACACATCATTGTAAAATCAATACATTCATCGTTTCACTCAGAATCTAAAATCTTAAATATGCATAAATATATGCACTAAAATGTTCAAATATGCACTCAAAAATTAGCAAAAAAGACATTTATATTCCGAATATTTAATTAAAATAATAAGTTTAAAATTATGGAATGCTATACTAAAAATACTTTTTCTTAAAATATCAGTGTTATGTAGGAGTTTTAATCTATAAGAAAAAAATTGGAACCAATTTTGACCATAAGATGTATCCTAAAAGGAATTTACTTAGGTACCTATACCTAAATCATTTGTTTTTTGTTGGTAGTTTTAATTTACAAGAAAACAATAATTCCCAAATATATTTAAACAAACATACGAGTATATCTACCTTTTAATTTATTTTGATACTGATCGAAACTATAAAAATATAATTTTTTTTTTTATATTACTTTATATTTGAAAAATTTATAAAAAACCATAAAACATCGTAATACCTATGCACTATAAGCAGTGTTGGGGAGTAACTTAACTTAAGTTACAAGTTACTGTAACGAAATTACTTTTTAAGTAATTTGATGGTAATTTAATTACATTTTATTGTAAGTAACTTATATGTAATTTAAGTTAATTTTTTGTAGTAATTTTTAATAAATTACTCGCTACTTTTTTTTTGGATTATTAAATTTTTTAGAACATATTGCGATAATATTGTGTGTAGGTAAATATTAAAATATATCATAATATAACTTATAAGTATTTTAATTTATAGGTAAAATTGTCTAAACTGTAATATTTTTGCTATAGCTATTGGCTATTCGACTATAAAGTGTTACTTTTAGAATGGAATTCTTATCTTTACTCTGTGTTGTATCGTCGCGGATGGCTCATACAGCATTGTTGGAACTATCAATAAATTCGCCGGTTCGAATCTCGGTCACGGGCTGAACTTCTCTCCGGCAGACACTTGTCTGGAGAGAGAGACCGCCATCCCTCGACCGGGCATGGCACCTACGGGTGCCCAATTTGAAATTCTGCCAAGCTTAAACACACGTGTTTACAAAAACCTACAGTATCCTCCCCCACGGTTAAAAACCACACAATTTTCTACGTTGCTGAGGGTTAGTTAAAAAAAAAAAAATTAATTAATAAATAAATGCGTGACTTGGCAATACGACTGATAGTAACTTACGCCCGCTGCTACTAGTTCCTGGATGGGTGACCGCCTGGATTCGTAGTAGTAAAAAACTAACACGTGTTTGCATAGATACAGTAACAACCGTAAAAACCGCAACAACACCTTACCATACCAACCTTACCAAACACAGTTCATAATCCCCTACAACAGCTAATGACCATAGTTGCCGGGCTTAAATTCAATAAAAAAATAATAATAATAGTGTTGCAAAAAAAGTATCATCCGTTAATAATTTCATATTTTTGATTGTCATTATCTATTTAGTTTATGTATTCTTATATTGACAACATGATTATTAAGCTCCAGTGATATTTTTGAAAAAAAGTAACTTCTATTGTAATTCAGTTACTTTTTAAACTTAAAAGTAATGTAACTTAACCAAATTAAAAAAAAGTAACTTAAAAATAATTTAGTTACAATTTTGATAAGTAATTAGTAATGTAATTTAATTACCAAAAATAAGTAACTTCCCCAACACTGACTATAAGATGAAATATGCAATTAAAATCATAAAATAAGCCTTTAAAATAAAAATAAAAAATGGGTAAATTTCGAAACATGTAAAATATGCACCATAAAAGTTTCATATTCATAAACTGCGCCAAATACACGGAAGCCCGTAAAATCCTCAAAAACCCCACCACACTCCATCAAGCACTCAACGAAGACAATAAGGATGGCGCAATCAATCTATTTCTTCATAGTATAAACATAAGCCATAAATTGTAAGCACACTAAATATGTCAATATTTGTAAAAGTTATAATGTATACTTATTTATATTAATTTAATGCAGGCTAAAGACCTTTGATGTCGAAACCTTAATAAATATTTTAAAAAAAAAAGTTTCATAGTTAAAATCGTTATGTCATGAAACAAATCTGTGCTCACTCATAGTTATAGTATATCATACTATCTACGAGAATAAATATACAAATGTATAGTTTTTGAAGTATGAAATATTTCACAAAAACGTGAAACATTGACATTTTTTTAACATAAATAAAAACACAATTTATTTATTTTTTTAACACAATGTTCAGTGTTTTAAATTCTAATGTCAGAATTCAGTATAGTTAATAGTTATACAGTATACATGTATAATATTGGTTACCTACCTACTTGTATCATTTAAACATTAAAATATTTAAAAATGTTGAATACCTTTTTAAATGTATAATACATACAGGTATACATACAGGTACCATACAGTTATGAAGGTAATTTATGACAATTATATGTAAATATAAAACTTATTTAAAAATAAAACAAAATTTATTAAAATACTGAAATATTTCATTTTTTTAAATTTCATGAAATTTTCAAACACTACAAATGTATACAAAACCATGCTATACAGTAATAATTAATTTACAAAATGAATACAATATATTGTATTATGAATAAAATAAAATAAAATATATAGTATATATATAGGTATAATATATGTATATAATATAGTTAGGTATACAATAAATAAATAAATACGTATTTGAGTTCTTCGGTTTATATATATAATAATTATATATATTTAATATTATAGGTAGGTTATAATATCATATATATTATAGGTACATATAATATTTGAGTATAAACCTAAAAAGATTAACTAAATCCACACTTCACATGTGCTATTAACAATTAAAAATTATTTTTCTTTATTAACATAATTAAACGATTTCAAATGTAGATTAATTATATATTTCATTTAAACCTGCGCTTTATTATATTATTAGTAAATAAGTTTTACATGTTTGTCCAGACGATTTTTTCAATCCATGACATGTAATTCGATACTCGCGTATAAAGATTAGGCGAATGTTTTTCTCCACAAGATGACCCTGTAGATGATGTTATTCCTATTTGTGAATACATACACTACACGTGTTACGGGTAACTATTGTGTTTTATATGAATTGGACCACCTGCCTGTTAGATGGTAAAAATAAATCGTAATTAAAGAAAATATGTTTCTGGTGCAGAAATGCAAGATTGTAATTATTTGTAGTTATTTAAATACAAAATACTTACTGCACAAAGACCATTTTCATCTTCTGAATTTCCAGCACACAACATTAAGTTATCAACTATTCCTTGTGCTAATTTTTCATTTTCATTTTCCATAATATATAATAGAAACTTTTATTGCACTATTCCGCCGAAATAGTGTTCATAGATACTTTTAATAAGTGTGAGCTTGGAAGTAAAGCTAATTATTTCCATTTTCATTATATTTATGAATCAAAATGTATGTAGGTACCATACTAAATATTTAATAATTTAATATTATAGAAAACTAACTTACCTACGTCAGTTTTTCCCCAACCCGTAGCCATTTCGTAGCTATTACTCGGTTTTAACTTATTATTTGTATTCAGACATATAGATCGTACATATGGAGAGAAATCTACATCTCTTTCTAAACGAAACAATGCTATATCATGGTACAACGAAGTTGATTTGTAATTTGGATGTATTATGCGTTGTATAATTTTGTAGTCTTTAGGACTGGCATGGTCCGTTTCCGAGATATAGTCTAGTTCACCTACGCGAGCCCAATTTGCAAATCTCCTGAAAATGTTATTATTTCTATAACAGTTTATAAAGTACATACAATGTGTAATATGTAAGTATTGTAAATATACATACGGTTCATCTTTATTTCCCAAATGTTCACAACTGGCTGCTGTTGGTACAAATCTCTTACTTATCAGCGATCCTCCACATGCCCATGAATTGATGTCTGGTTTTTCACTATAGCCCAACAAAACCTGAAATTAAAAATATAAATACAAAACTATCAATATCATATATTTCATATTGTCACCATGTGAGGAAATTCTAATGGTTCAGCATCTGCAACGTTGGGAAATAAGTAATAACCCATGGGGATCGTTGCAATGTGTAATAATAGAATCTTCCTGATTTAACATTAATATTGGGTCTTTAATTCAAAGGTAAATTGATTCTGAGTACTCGCTGCACACTATAATAGTTGTGAAATAAAAATATATAATAATAAATTAATTATTAAGTAAAATTTTAAAATACTTATAACATTTTGAGGCGATTTGCTTATACATACTTTCCGTGGCAGAATATGATTTCAAAACTGTCAAAACTGGATTTTCTGGTGGACAACAAACTATTGGAGTTGATCCATTAAATGAGCATAGTTTAGGTAAAACATTTTTCTTAAGTTCTTCCTTTGCAAATGGTAAAAATAGTAATAAAAAGTAATTACTTTTGAAATTAATAAAAATAATTTGAACATTTCTGGTTTAATTGCGTAAGTTGGTTGTTAGAACACTTAAATAGCTTCAAGATAAAAAAAAAATACTTCAAGATGTTGAATAGTTTTGAAAATGCATTAAAAAATGTGTGATGGTTTTGGTTTTGATTAAAAAAAGTTAACTGCCCATAACTTAAAAAATTAAAAGGATAGACCCACTCTTTAAAGGGTATTTCTTCATAATTTTCTGTATACTTTCATATGACATCGGCCGGTCACTTCCCCCGAAATACATTGTATACATAAATTAAACATTTTTTATGCATGGTAAAATTTTCAAAATATTTTGTCTTTTTTTAAGCTATTTATTGCAATGAGACATTTTTTAGAGTTATGTAAATTTTTTTATAATTATTGTCAATAAAAACTAAAATAATTTGCAAATTTAATGCAATGTTTCACGTAAGTTTTAGATAGCAGTAGAAAAATATTAAATATTATATATGGGCACAATATTATTTTGAATTTACGAACTTTTTTTTTTAATTACACTAAAAACACATCATTGTAATTTGTAAGATCAATACATTCGTCATTTATAGCTTCTCTCAGAATCTAAAATTTTTGTTTTATTACAATTTTTGTTTTCTGCTTAATTAACTAACAATATCTTTAATTACACAAATAAAATGGTTTAAGATAAAACAAATAATGTTTCTTTATTTTAAATGCCTACTCTGTATTATCCATATATTAATTGTTTTAGTTCCTTCATTGTAAGTTGTATTAATATATCTGTTCTCAGTATTATTATGTTTTTATTGATTTAAAATGTAAAATATGTATATTGTTTACTGAATTTATATTTTATTTATGTTTATATTATGTTGTTAGTTATTCAATATTGCCAGTATACGTTTTACAATAAGAAAAAAAAACATTTGTATATAGTTAGCAAATAAATATTGTATTTATTGTGAATCCAATTATTTTGTAGGAACAAAAATAATAATGAGTGATAAATTGAGGAAAAAAATTATCTTGATAAATAATTATTTAAATAAACGCGGGACTATTTCCGGAAACACAGTCGCCTCCGTTAGTTCCTTACTTTGACCACCGGGAGCGCTTTTGTCATTTTTCTGAAAAAGAAGACTGACAACTCGGGCAAATCGCCAACGACGACAGTCGACTTTCGACAATTGACGGCACTCTGCAGAATTTGGTCGATCGACAATTGTTGGACGTTGGTCTGCACTTTGCATAGGTCTGCACCTGTATGTCTACGGTCTGTCATGATAGTCAATTCTGCATAGAAAAATATTATTCTATAGTATGATTTATATTCGTACACTTCACTATGTTGGATACACAGTTTAATACATTTTATGGAACAATCATGATCCACCAAATCTTGTTCAAGGGACCTTTAGCTACTCGCTATAATTGATTCATTATATGTTTAGTGCAACCCCAGGTATAGAATATGAATTGACACCTGGATAATTAATGCATGGATTATTGTTACGGTTCACGTATTCGAGGAACTTTTTACGTTTAGGCGAAAATCTTGAGAGGATTTGTCCGAAAGATGTAGCTTAGTTCCCTTAACGATATAATGAGATTATTTGCCTGTTGCAATTTCCAAATATTTTTTTTAATTGTTCCAATGAGCGAATAACTGACGAATATTTAGTGGTCATACACTATAATATTACAGCATTCAAATTTGGCACGGAAATACGAGTGATCATGGAAGAAATCACGGGAAACTGTAATACATATCACGTGATACTATGACCATAGCGACTATTTGAGGTTATGTTTTTAGAATTTAATCTTTTTGTGATTGCGTCAGGATTCGGGAATACACCTCAGGTATTAATTTTATTTAAAATCCTTTTTTTTATTGACTTTACCATGTCGATTTGATTTTGTTTTGTATGAATAAGAGAACATTTACCACCACTAGTCTTATTTTATACGATTGAAAACCTCTAATATATTTTTTAATTTAAAATAGGTAAGTAGTCCGATGTGGATTACGTATGTGTTTACACTAAACCGAAGGCAAATTTTAATATTATTATGTGTCCTGTTATTAGGTTAAAATGCCGTTGTCGTGTCGGTTTTATGCCGAACGTTATCCGGAAATTGACGATGTCGTCATGGTCAACGTCCGTAGTATCGAAGAGATGGGCGCCTATGTTCATCTTCTGGAATACAACAATATCGAGGGTATGATATTGTTATCAGAATTGTCCAGGCGGCGTATTCGTTCCATCAACAAATTGATTCGCATCGGCAAGACTGAACCTGTAGTTGTAATTCGTGTAGACAAAGAAAAAGGTAGAATATTATTTTTTCACAATTTTTACACGTACCTACTTGATACTTCTTTATACGGCTGTCTAAATAAGTCTAATACTCCTACGTGTGTACACTATAGGTTATATTGATTTGAGTAAAAGAAGAGTTTCTCCTGAAGATATAGAAAAGTGTACTGAAAGATTTGCCAAAGCAAAAGCTGTCAATTCAATTTTACGGCACGTTGCTGAACTTTTAAACTTTGAATCTGATGCTCAATTTGAAGAGCTATACCATAAAACTGCTTGGTTTTACGAGGAAAGAACTAAAAAGAAGTCATCGGCTTATGATTTTTTCAAACAAGCTGTTCAGTAAGTTTTTTATGTATTTTTTAATAATTATAATAATATTTTTAGCTCATTAGTATTATTCATTATAACATAGAGTGTTCACTAAGCATGCTCACCACTTTTTTCTTCAGTAACGTAGGTAGTTATTCAAAATCTGATTTTTGGAATTTTTAAATACCTATACTAAGGGGCCGCCTCACCAACATTTGTTTTCCCTGTCTATCTCACGCCTAATATAGGAACATAGATATTCTTTATTTCCACTATTACGGTTCTCCGGTTCAGTTTAAAGCAAATTCACCTATTATTTATTTGATAAAGAAGAATATTTTCTGTGCTCTGGCCGGATAGTTTTTTAATATTTTCATTATTTATAAATATAAACGTGTTTTAATTTAACTTAATTTCGATTATTTTTAACCATTAATAACTCATTCAATAATGAAAGTATTAAAGAACTATCAGGCCAAAGCACAGAAATTATTCTTCTTTATCAAATATATAATAGGTGAATTTGCCTTAAACTGAACCAGAGAACCGTAATCGTGGAACTAAAGAATATCTATGTTCCTATATTATGCGTGAGATAGACAGGGAAAACAAATGTTGGTGTGGTGGCCCCTTAAGACAATATTTTCAAATTCTTGAGATTGTTGTGTCAATTGTATGTCATGTGGGTACATAAACTTATTTTTTCCATATAAAAACCTTTCTTTTTTACTGTAAATTATTTATTGTATAATTTTTATGAATATTTTGAAAACTAATTCAAAAATTGAACAAGTTGTTTTTGAGTTTTTAATTTTTAGTGCTAATGCTAATGGGTTTGGAAGATATGAGTGCTATTATGGTGATTTGGAAACTGCTAATATTTTACAACATTATTCTCTGATGTATATAAATTATAAATGCAGTTCCTCTCAATTTTTTTTATGAGTTTAGTTAAATGTTTGTTCAAATTGTTTTTAATTATAATAAAAATAATATTAACTTTTATTTTGCTTTCATTAAGTACAAGTAAAATTAACAACATTTTAATTATTTTAGAGATCCAACTATATTAGCTGAATGTGGGTTGGACGAGAGCACTCAAAACGTATTGCTTAATAATATTAAACGAAAATTAACTTCCCAAGCTGTAAAAATACGAGCTGATATTGAAGTTGCGTGTTATGGATATGAAGGAATTGATGCTGTTAAGACAGCTTTAAAAGCAGGTCTTGCTTGTTCGACGGAGGAGCTTCCAATCAAAATCAATCTAATTGCTCCACCATTATATGGTAAATATTTATTAGTTATTTATACTTAAGAGGACGCCACACCCGCATGTGTTGTCTCCGTCTTACAAATGTACAACATAGCAAAAACTCTTTTGCGAGGGACAACTTTTCTCGCACCATATTTGTTGTAGAACTACCAAATTTTCACAGCACTTAAAGAAGAACTTTATCTGTGCAACAGCGTGCTCTTTTTTCCAATAGCACCATTCAATCATTTTTTATAAGCAAATTAAAAAACCAAATGTTTAGAAGCAAATAACTTGTATTGTATGTATGTTATTGAAAAAAAGAGCACGCTGTTGCACAGATAAAGTTCTTCTTTAAGTGCTGTGAAAATTGGGTAGTTCTACAACAAATATGGTGCGAGAAAAGTTGTCCCTCGCAAAAGAGTTTTTGCTATGTTGTACATTTGTAAGACGGAGACAACACATGTGGGTGTGGCGTCCTCTTAATCATACATTTAAATAATTAAATTAATAATTACAAAATTAATACATACTAATTTAAACAAAGTTGTAATTTTTGTTTTTTATTAATGTACATAACTTTTAACTAATATTATTCATTTTTACTTAATTATTAATATGTTAAAAATAATTAGAACTTTTAAAATATTAAAATAAATTTATAATTGATTTATGTATAATTAATATTTTTTTTTCTAGTTATGACAACTGCCACACCTGAAAAAACCGACGGTTTAAAAGCATTGCAAACT